GAGGTAATGAGAGGCAGTGAGATAATTGACAGTTGAGAATTCTGTGTTTAACAGGGGGATGTGAAGATCTCAGGAGAGAAACAGTGAGGTACCAAGTGCTTCCATACTAATGGAACCTGATTGGAATAGAGACAACAAAGCAAGTAAAGCAAGGTCAGGGGAATGGAGACTTTGCCTGAACCAACTTGCTACCATCCCAGTGGTTCATCCTTATATGTTTTCCCTTTTTCTTTGCACTCGTTCTCTTTGATTTTTTTTCTTTTGGAAATCAGCCCCCTAGTGCATTTTTATCAGCCTTTAGAGGAATGTTTGACATTCTTCCTTCTAAAATTGTGTAACATTTTAAGCATCTCCCGCATGACTGCCTGCCTCAATTTGCTTCTATTGCTTTGTTTTTCTTGTACCACTGAGGAAACCTAGACATTAATGTTTTTAGTGGCACAAAATCTGTATTGATCTTTTGTTATACAAAACCATATCTGATGACACAGCACAGTAGCCTAGGGAGTAAAGTCCTCGTCTTGCACGCGCCGAGATCCCATATGGACACAGGTTCATGTCCTGGCGGCCCCAATTCCCATCCAGCTCCCTGCTTGGGGCCTGGGAAAGCAGTCGAGGACAGCCCAAAGCCTTGGGACCCTGCACCCGTGTGGGCTCCTGGCTTCAGATCAGTGTAGCGCCAGCCATTGCAGCCACTTGGGGAGTGAATCATCAGATTGAAGATCTTCCTCTCTGTCTCTCCTCCTCTTTGTATATTTGACTTTGCAATAACAATAAATAAGTTCTTTTAAAAAAATGTATCTTAGATTTTGCTCTTCGTGACTTCTGCAGAAGGTGTTCACAGCTGCCTTCACACTTTCATATTGCCATGATGAACTGGCTGTCTTCTCATCTGAGGGGTAATCCTCATAAAGAGAAACATTTTTCACACCTACAAAAGAGTCCAAAAGGAGAAGACGAGGACTAATGATGGCAGGATATGAATGTGCTACTGTATTATGCTACTTGGTATGAGGACACATGGATTCACCTGCTCAAACATATTATTAAAAGGTAATATTGAACTCTTCGACATTCTGGCAATGTACAAAGGACTCTAACATCAGAAATAGGCCTAATTAATATTAAGTCTGTTAAAGGAAAGACTTGGTGTCCTCATTAAAGTGACAAAAACCCTCATTTCAGAGAGCAGGAAATACCCTTTGTAGATAAGATGCTCTCGGTAGCATTATAGGTGATTACTTTTTTTTTTTTACTTAATGACAAGTCCAAACTGAAACAATTATTACCTCCTGTCACTCGACTGCCAGTCCCTAGATGCCCGGCAGCATGCCCTCTCCTCCTACACAGAGGCAGTCTCTCCTACTCATTTTCTCCGAGGGAAAATGTTTTCATATTTAGACTGGAGAATATGATTTTAAGCATTCTGCATCTCTGCCCTTTTCTTGCCCATGTGTCTCCATCTGACATATAGAAATTAAGTAGGTATAGTCTCAGGCCTGCAGTGCAGAAAAGAAAATGTCGCTATTTTGTGTTGAGCCATGTGGACTGCTCCAGGATAAACATGCGAACTAAAGCAGATGTAAGTAACTCTCCATCTATGGGGATTGATTACAGAGTAACCTATGTGCTAGGTCTCACTGACTTCTGACCCAAACCAAATGCTCTTCCACTGTCTGCAAATAGTTGCTGTCCCCTCTTTTGTACAGTTTGCTATATACAATCATCTTCACTTGTAGCATCATCTTTGCGTGTTGTGATTGCTAGGATTACTGCCTGTCCAGTGAAAAAATATCCCAACCACTTGAAGAAGTAGTAAAAGTAAATATTAATTAGAATGCTACAAAGCCGAGCTTGTATGCACTGGATTTCTTTTCAAAGACACAAAATATGTATGATCACAGTAAAAAAAAAAAAAAAAACTAAAAATTAGTTATAAGGAGTTGGTATGCCATACTGAAATGTCTGAGTCTCCCTTGCATCTGGAAACCCATGCAACCCATGTGAAGTTGCATGGTTTAACCAAGCAAATTTAACCAAGGTTTTTTTATCCCCATGCATTTTTAATAAACTTTGTTTAGAGCAATTTTAGATTCGTAGCAAACCTGAGCAGAAAGTAGGGGGTTGCTGTATGCTCCCTACAGAAATACATTCTCCCCGCACTGTCAGCCTCTCTCAGGAAAGTGGTACATTTGTTACAGACAAGAAACCAGTATTGACTCATCATTACAGTTTACATTAGGGTTCACTCTTGATGGTATACATTCTATGCGTTTTGAGAAATATATAAACATCTGTCATTATAGTATCATAGATCATAATTTCTCTGCCCTGAAACTCTTCTGTGCTCCACCTGTTCATCCCTCCCTCCTGGCTGAACAATGGCAACCACTTATCTTTTTACTATGTCCACAATTTTTCCTTTTCCAGTATTTCATACAGTTTAAAATGTATAGTATATAGTCTTCCCAGATTGGCTCCTTCACTTCGTACTATGCACATAAGTTTCCTTTATGTCTTTTCATGGCTTGAAACTCATTTCCTTTTAGCAATAAATACTATCCTGGTATCTGTATATACCACAACTTACTTGTCAATTTGCCTACCAGAGGACATCTTTGTTGCTTCCAAGTTTTTGCAATTACCAAAAAAAAAGTGTTGTGAAAATATTGTGTGCAAGCTTTTATGTGAATGTTTGTTTGTAGTTCTTTTGGATAAAAATGCCAGGCAGCATGATTGCTGGATTGCATGGAAAAAGTATGTTTAGTTTCATAGGGAAGTTATGCATATACTACAGTAATGTTTAACTTGGATCTTTTGACTGATTAAATATTTCATTCTACTTTCTTTCTTGTTTATGTAATTTCTGAAAGTCAGATATAATGTTTATATTTGCTCTTACATGTTTAAATTTTTATTTCTTGCTTTTTTGGGTTTTTTTTAATCTGATTTTCTATAGTTTGAGTGTGATATGCCTAACTACTAGGCGGGGTTTTTTTGCCCTTTACCCTGTTTGATATTGTCTAAGATTCCTGGATCTATGGCATGGTTTCTGACATTAGCTTGGGGATATTTTCAGTCATTTCTGCTTCAAATACTGTTTTTTGTTTCTTTCTTCTCCTTGTCTTGCCATCAGTGTGTTTCCACATTTTGTAATTGTCTTACAGTTCTTGGATGTATTGTTACTCTCTTAAATCATTTGTTTTCTGCTTTCGCTATAGTCTAGATGTTTGTGAACCAAAAAATTCATGTGTTGAAACCTAATTGCCAGTACAATACTATTAGGAAATAGGACTTTGGGGAGAGTACTTGCAAGGATTAGTTTCCATATAGAAGAGACCCCAGAGAACTGCTTTGCCTGTTGTGGTGTGAGCACACAGCTAGAAGGCACCACCTATAAACCAGAAAGTCGGTAATCACCAGACTCTAAAATTCAGATACCTTGATTTTAGACTTCCTAGCTACTAGACTATGAGAAATAAATGACTGTTTATATGCTGCCCAGTTCATGATATTGTATTATAACATCCTACATAAACTATATGAACTAAGATGGGTTTTATTCTTAAAGGCTTCTATTGTCACGTCCTCACATTCAGAGACTCTCAGCCATGTCAATCTGTTACTGGCCTATCAAAGGCATTCTTCCTTGCTGATACTGTGCTTGTCAGTAATCTCTAGCAATTCTTCTTGATTCTTAGAATTTCCATCTCTGTATATGACCTATCTGTTCTTGCATATTATCTACTTTTTCCATTAAAACTCTTTGCATATTAATCGTGTTGCTTTTAAATTTATAACCTGATGATTTCAATATCAATACCATATCTGAGTATGCTTCTGATGTTCACTCTATAGTTGTAGCCACAAATTGTGTATTCGGTGTGTCTTATAATGTTTGTTAGAATTCAGAGATGGTGTATTGGGCAAAAGTGGCAAATAGACATTTATTGTGCTGGAAAAAATGTTGGGAAAGGGAAGAGTTCTCTAGTCCTGTAATTAAGTCTCAACCTTTTGGGGAGCCCATGCCCGCGGACTATGACCTTCGCCAGTGCTTCTCAGTCCTTCCACCATGGACTAGAAGGGCTTGGACTTAGGTGCTTCTCTTCTAGTCCATGGTCAGTTAGGCTCTTATACCACCCAAGAAGGTTAATCCCTTGTGAGATACACTTTCCTAAGGACAGAGCTTGTTAAGAAGAGCAAAATTCCCTGGCATCTCAAATTTCAAAAGCCTTCTTTCCCCTCCTCATACCAGAAACCCAAGAGAGGTTCCTTTGAAACCCAAGGTGGGACCTGTAGTTCTCCTGTAAATATTACTAACAAAAGCATGGGAGCCCTCCCCACGGGAATGAGTCCCCCTGGAGTTTCTAACTCCTGGACTAATCCACACTAAGCCACCTACAACTTGGCAATTAGAGTTGAGTTTTTCTTCCTGGCCCTGGTTGGGTTAATGGGTTCCTGGTCCAGTAAGGTGATTTTATATTCATCTGTATCTCCAATTTAAAAACCAACAGTTTGCCCCGTGACCTCACTTCTCTGATACATAGGAGAGTTGGTGATTGCAACTTTTTACTTACTGTTAAGACAGAGTAAAGACTTTCAAGTTGTTTAAATGTTGGATCTAAAATCAAAAGTCTTTTTTCTTAGTTTTTACATTTACCTTTTCTCTGTAGCACTAGCCAACAATACATTTTTAATGCATCTGTCAGGAAAGTGATTGTGTAGGCAGTTGTGAGTTTAAGATAATTATTCCTATAATTTACTATTTCAGGGCTCTTATACTTTTCCACATTTCAAACAAGTAACTGATGCTACCTAGAAATATGTTAGGAACCGTGAGGAGGACTTTCCTGCATTGGAATCTTGGTTCAACTACAAAAACAGACCTAAAATTACACATTAAAAGGCTTTTTATACAGATTAATTTAAAACACCAGATGAGCCACAGAGAAATCTGAACACACATAAGTTAATATTTTATGTTGATTATTTAGCCTTAGTATCACAGACAGAAGCCCTCAAAGAAGAAAATGACAGCCTCCGCTGGCAGCTCGATGCCTATCGGAATGAGGTAGAACTGCTCAAGCAAGAACAAGGAAAAATCCACAGAGACGATGACCCAAACAAGGAACAGCAGCTGAAGTTCCTGCAGCAAGCGCTCCAAGGCATGCAACAGGTAAAGGCATTTTGCATTTCTGAACTTCCTGGAAGTATGACATCAGGCCTTCCTCCATGAAAGAGCCGCCTGCAAGCAAGAAGAATGTCAGACATACCTTTCTTCTTCTTGATGTCATACTCTCTGGCTTGCCTGAGGAAGAGATGATGTGTTGTGCTTAATGAAATATCCATGTTGATGCAGAGTTGGCAGTGGATCACCAATTTCTGATGAAAACATTGAACATTAAAACTACACTCAACGTGAACTAATATATTCTTTCTGCTTTAGGGGGTATTTCAGGCTCTAGACAAGACTTCAGGATCTGTGTGAAGAACTTCATTTATTTAGTTTTGAAAAGCTGCTGATGAATAAGTATCTAGTTAATAGAATACCAAATAATATAGCCCTTTATAGAGAACAATAAAAATTCTGTCTTTAATTTGAGTAAAAGTGAGAATGTTATGGGTTTTTAAGTATCAGTGCTTTGGGCACACAATAACATTTTATTTTTTTTTTTTCAGTCATCTATGTGAAAGAGTTTACCTGCACAGAATTCTAAATATAGAAGTAAAGTAAATAAGTGTGTCAACTGTCGTGCCAGTCAGATATGTCGCAGGATAATCAATGCTCAGTGTCTAGATGTTTTATGTAACTGTCACCACAGTGATTCTACAATGTAAAAGATTGGCACCTGCTTCCACTCCAGGAAGAATTGCACTCCTTACACCTATAGTTGTGCAAAAATGTGTTAACCATGCCTTGGAATTACAAATTATGAATGGGGAGTCTTTTGGCACAAAGAGCCCCTGTTATTACTTCAGCCATCATCATTTTCATGTGTGACAGTAATATCATATTAATATTTCAAATTAATGTTTACTTTCCTTTTTCTGTCACCATGGAGTTTAATTAGATCATGTAAATTATCTCAGAGATCTTTCTACCCAAAAACTGCATTTCCTTAGCTATGCTTCAAAGAATTTTGACTGTGGGGGTTGTACGGTGTTTTGAGGTTTTTCTTTTTCCCTTCTTTCTTTTTTTCTTTGTTTCTTTTTTAAGCTATCCTGATGGCCTTTTGCAAGGCCCTGAAAAGCTAGACTTTGGAGACATTTTGTTATTTTTTTTTTACTCCTTGCTTTGATTTTTGAACTATTCTGCATATGCAGTTTGAAAATGAGAAAATTTCTGTTTCATTTTATCACCTCCAAGACCTCAGTGAGAAACAGGCTTCTGTCCCCTAAGAAAATTAAATCCACTCATTCAGATTACTTTTTGTTGGAAAAGAGCCTTATAAACACTGGTAAGATTTCTCCTATCATATGCCAAAAGATGAATCGTATAATATGCTGGTGAAGAGCTTAGAATCTGGAGTTCACCCAGCTTGATTTTAAAGCCCAACTCTGCCACTTCACTTTCTGGGTGGCCTTCAGCAATCTACGTAACTTCCCTAATCCTCAGAGATTGCAGCATCACAGTGTTAATGTGGGACTTACATGAAAACATGAATATAAATGCTTAATACAATGCTTAACACATAGTAGGCACTCAGTATTTGTTGTAATTATTGATAATGACAAGCCCAATTCCCTACCTACTGATACAAAATCTAATATATGAAATATGGATTCTTTCATGCTTTCCTTATAAATAGCTATTTTTAAGAATGTCCCACAATATCAAGTTCACTTCTGTGTAGCAATGAAAAATATTATCCACACTATATTAACTGTGCCCTGTCCTTACCTCTGGCCAGAATAAAGAAGTGACCAGAGCAATTAGTTTCTTGGGATCTTCCTAGAATATGCACAAACTCAAAGGAAATTTGTAGGAGACACATAAAATAATTTAAGCAAAATGCTTTTAGTTTCCAATCGCTGCAAGGAAAAATGATTGTGTGTGCCAGGGGGAAGTGGAGCCCAGTCGCCTGATACCTAAGCCCAACCAGGCAGTTTAAGGCAAGTGTAGCTCCTTTGTTACTGACTCGATTGTCTTTGATTTTTTTTTAATAGCATCTACTCAAAGTCCAAGAAGAATTCAAAAGGAAAGAAACTGAACTTGAAAAACTCAAAGACGACAAAGTACAGCTGGAAAAAATGTTGGAAAATCTTAAAGAAAAGGTATGTAAGTGCTGAGTAAACCTTTTTTCCTTGTGGTCCTTTCCCCCCTTTTCAACGTCAATGAGAATGCCTTGAAAGCTATCAGGCCGTAAGCATCAGTGTGGCATGTTGGGCTGATTGGGGATTAAAGGCCCTCTTCAAGGGCAATTCTTGTATCAAGGGCTTTGATTTCAGATATGAGTCCTTGGCATTTATGGGGGTTCTGGAGAATGTATTTTTTAGTGGAAAGATAAATCCATTCCTAAGATTCTTCAGCCTCCGTAGCTTAAGGAAGACAAGAGTGTATATGTCAATCCCTGCTTCATTTGAAGCAAATAGCAACAGTGAAAGCTCACATGACACATTGCATCATCCTGTCTCTGTAGACTGCACATTTAGTGTGGTAATGAGCAGTTGCTGGTGAGAGTGATAGCTAACATCAAAAAGAGGGAAGCCTTGGGAAGAAACAAAGGGACACCATAATCGACAGCTAGAAAACAGCAACAGGGACGGTGAAGTGGGACATAAGCAAGAGCCTAGAGTAATAAGAGCCACCATTGAGGAGCTTTGAGGAGTCTACTAATATCCAGACACATTAATGTGTCCTAGCCATGAACCAGATGACTGGTCTGCTTAAGGTGTATGACATCTGTGGCCAGGCATCTCCTTATCATACCTCTCCAGCATCCCTTATACCTCGGCTGAAGTTATCCTCTGAAAAGGAAGGCCTATTGACCAGAGCGGCCAGCTGATAGTCTTCTTAGAAGCACAAGATTGGGAACTTGAATCAAGAGTCAGAAATCAGCAGTGCTACAGACTCTGAAGAGCTCAGGCTCTGTATATTCTCCGCTCAGTTCACCAAGATAGCATGCATGCAGGCCCTGGATGTGTCTGTCAGCACAATGGCTTGCTTCCCCCAGAGTGCCATTAGCAAGCAGCAACCTTGGTGTACTTCAAATGAATGATAGAAAGTGTTTTCTGGAGGCCATTTGCAATATGCTTTTAATTCTTCCACTTCATAAAATCAACTCACTTTCCAGCTTTGTGGGTACTGTTAAAGAAATGAGTAGAGTCCCAGAGAATTTCATTTATCAAGGATTTAATTGAAAAGTGCCAAATCTCTTCTATTTGCTAGAACGTCTCTTATACTATCAGAGCTTCTAAAATACCCCGGAGCTGCCACATAACTGTTTTGCTTCCTGCATAAAATGGAATGGGTAACCAGAACGGTGTAGAGAGGTGCAGGATTATGCTAATGACATTATGCTTGGAAACACTCATTTTTTATTTTTAATTGATACATTAGAATTATACATATTCAAGGGATAGCATTTGATGTTTCCATACGTGTGTACATGATAAAGGGCTCAAATCAGGATGAGGCTCTATAGTTCCCCAAGCATTTTAAAACTGATACCATAAATTGATTTAAGGATATTTTTAGCATAAGTAGCTCTCCTCTTTATAAAGTGTTTCATTTATAGAAGTCAGGAGTGCAGTGGACTAGTAGAAACTTTCCATACCATGAAATGGCAGCTAAAAAGGAGAAAAAAAGAAATCTAACTGATAATCAAAACACAGCCAGGATATGGGTTTTTTTTTCCTGTTATTTTAAGCAAAGCGTGTTTTAGAGAAATCCATGACAGTTCATTATAAACTGATCTTCTCTGGGAAGCTGATTTGTGACCACATATTTCAACCTGACACAATTAGGTTAGGAAACAAAGTGCCATCACATTAGACTATAAAAATAATTTCAGGTCGAAAGGAAAGCAATAAGTTTTGGTGAAGAGGGTTTTTTTTTGCTTTGCTTTTGTTTGGTTTTATTGACAATAAGTCACGGAGTGAATTATTGTCAGTGTTTTGCAGTGTAACAATGTGGCTTATGTCTGTCTAACTGATGAAAGGACTGACTCTCTGAATCTGCTATTAAAGTTCAAGGTGATAAGCATCCCTTCAATAATGCCTTCTAATTTTTTAAATGCCAGTTATAATATTAAAGATGGCTAAAATATGTTATGATATCTTTACATCTTAAATCAACCCCCAATCTGTTAAACTCTCTACTTAAGGAATGGCTTACAGGATTACTTGACATTTTAAGGGGGTTGGAAGCAGATGTGAACCCTGTGGCTTAGAAGGGAGCCAGTATTTTAAATCAAACCTAGCATAATGGTTACTGCCTGGATTGGAGTACAGAGGCCAAAGATTGAGTAGCTCAGTAAGAAAGGGTTCCCCTCCGACGATAGCCAGGAAGTCTGTAAATCCACCAAACAGCATGTTTCGCAGCATAGACCATTCATTTCATTCACAGACAGCATCCTGAAAGCTTTGAAGACATCTTTAAAGAAAATGGAAAGATCCCTGCCCCCGCTGAGGGCTTAGATGAGGGGAGAAGTGACAAAGCATCTGAGTCATCCATGATCTGTCCTCCCACCTCTGGCATCTTCTTTCACAACAGTAACATTGAATCAGTGAGGCTAAAGCTATGGCTCTTTTATTCTTTCTTCTGGAAGTGCTTCCTTCACGAGCATAGCACAGAGAAGATGTTGTCAGCATCCAAAGCCAGAAGGAGCCACGAAAGGTCTAGAGGTGTATTTCAGCTTGGTTACTGATCATGAATCCCACCTACGTATCTCTTGGGACATTTACCTCCTATGCTCAGAAAAACTTCCAACCACAAAAAAGGCCACTGACTGATGATGTTTTGAGGCACATTTCATTTTGAGTCCTGTCTTGCTATGAAGTCAGGAATATTCTGGCTGATAACATCCTTATTAGAGAGAAGACAGAGAGAGCTTTTCTTTAATAGAGACTATAATTTGTACTTTAAAAGCCAACAGTTGAGGGCCTGTGAGTGGCTCTCCATTCACAAGTGGGGCTTACCATCAGCAGAATGGGGACCCAAAATTTATGAAAGATGGTTCTTTTAACAATGAATATGCTAGAATGGCTTCACCATTTCCTAGAAATGTAATCCTGACCAATTTACCTAATATTTCTGAGACTAATTTTTCTCATCTATAGAATGGAGATAATACATATATAACAATGGCTGGCATCCCCATAGTGAACAGTAAATGTTGGCTCAGCCACCCCCAGATTAGTTGGATGGAATTAAGAAGATGAATGCAGGAAAGAAAAGTCTGGTGGAGACAGATGACTAAATCTTTGTATTGAAACCATGTAAAGAAGTTTTGGATTATTTGGTAGTACTTTTGTAAGTTACACCATTTTCCTTCTCACCCAGTAATCAAAATTGGCAGTACTGCTTTTGTGATTAAGAAGTTGGGTGTTGTGTGGTTCGTTAAAAATAATCCTGCTACCACCTAAGATGAATTGGCCCAGGAGATATGTTATTTCCACAGGAAAGCTGTGCTTCAAGACTATGTGCATCAAGCCAGGAGAGTGATTGCCCCCTGGAGAAGACCTTGAACAACAGTCCCATAAAGTCTGAACGTGAAGCTCTGCTAGTGGGTAAGGAAGCTAACGCACACATGCAATGTATAAGGCACAGTGGAGCAGGCAGGGGTTAACTAGAGATTAATAAGCATATGCTGTGCACTTATGAGGCCTGACAGTCTGAGAACCCGGAGTCCAGAGGATGGTGGGATAGGAACAAGTACTCCCAAGCCTCTTTAGGCTTCCCAGAGTCAGTGCCTTGCTAAGCATGTCAACAAAAACACTACATTCAGAGAGGGTATCAGCAAGATAAAATCTACACCTTCTCAGGTCCACACAGGAATCCAGTACAGATGCCATTCAGCAAGCAGATTTCCCAGATGAGCCTCTGGAGCAAGCCTACACCTCCCAGCTTGTCCAGGTTACTGGCTGGGCTGTCTTCATTCATGACACTTCTGGCTGACAGCATCTAAATGAGATTTTCACTAAATGATCGTTTCATGCCACTTCCTGCCACCAGATTACGTGGTCTGCTGTGCAACACTACTCCTCCAAATCTCTGACACTACCTGAAGTTACCACCAAGTCCCAAAGGGTTAAGGGCTCACTCCCATGAGACTGTACTCACCTTAGAAACCAGGCTCAAAGTGACCCATGGTGAGGTCAGATTTGGCTTTAAAGCCAAAGATTCCCGTAACTCCCCACCCACATTTGATGATTTCCTAAAATTGGAAGTCAAGATAGGACCTTTTATGGAAGTCTCATTATATAGTTCTGATTGGTTCAATCACTGGCCATTGTTACTTGCTTCAGTCTTCAGGCCCTTTCCCCTCCCTGTTGTGGGGTATACTCTAATCCAACATTGGGCCTTGTGACAGCCAGCTCCCATCCTGAAGCTGTTTATTCAGTGGCACCCAGTTATCACTCATTAGCATGCAAAAGCCCTCTTAAAGCTTTGGAAATTCCAAGGATTTTAGGAGCTGTGTGCCAGGTACTAGGGGCAAAGACTTTTTTGATTATTATTATATTTATATCACATTACTCAATGGCTGAGGGGACTGTGAACAATGGTGTGTTTTAATGAGATAATGCTCACTGATGGTTAAAAATCAGATGCAGCTGGCATAGTGTCCTACTAGAACCTGCAGCATCCCATCTCAGAGTCCCAGCTGCTCCGCTTTCAATCCAGCCTCCTGCCACCCATGTAGGAAACCCAGATGGAGCTCCTGGCTTGGTTTCAGCCTGGTCCAGACAAGATTATTGTGGCCATTTGGGAAGTAAACCAGTGGGAAGAAGAGCTTGTCTTCTCTCTCTTTGTCTCTGTCTCTCTCTGTTACTCTGCCTATCAAATAGATGATTGATAGATAGATAGATCTTTTTTACAAAAAGGAATCAAACAGACCTAGCTTCCCTTCTTGGAACTATCATTTCTTATCTGAGTTTCAGTTCCTCCATCTGCAAAATAGTCGTAATAGTATCACCTACCTCAATGAACAGTTACAAGTATTAAACATAACAATTCATCTGCATCCCTTCACATGGTCCTACTCCCACATGGTAAGCCCTCAGTAAACAGGACTATTCACAGCACTTAGTGGTCCCAAATGCTTGTTGGCTTTTTATTCCATTTGAAAAAACGGTGGCAGATTAAAATTCCAGAGTATGCAATCATTTAAGAAGAGCTGTCCTTAGACCACAGCAGATGACCCTAGCTGCTTTTAAGGAAGGAGGGTAAGACGCCCAGTGGTGCCACTCAACTCGCAAAAGGCCCCCCTACCAACTGGCTTCTGTGTCCTTTCAAGATCTATCTGCCTCCTTTGGTAACAGATATGACACTCAGACTTAATTCTTTGATATGTTAATCAAGATGCATGGGGGAAATTCACCATTGAGTCTTCAAGAAAAATGACAACTGTTAGCGTTTTCCAACTTAAAATTCTTAACAAATTGGCATGGCAACAGGGAGACCTGTCAGAGAAGCACTGAGGGTAGAAGGAATCCTCTGTAAGTGAGCAGTGCTGGAGGAAAAAAAAGAGTCTTAAAATAAAAGTTTCTTGTGTTGTTTTTAAGAAGGCAGTTTTGGACTGACGGGGGCAGGGATGGTTTTTGTTTTAAATCAGTTGTTTGGATGTAAACCCACAAAAATGTCCAATGTTTCTCAATCTTTGGAGTTATTCCTGGGTGTTTGACAGTCTTTCTTGCAGTGATTTCTACAGTTTCTTTGAAAGTGGACTGCTTTCTTCTGAATTTTTCTCGGTTAGAATGAGTGTTTAGAAACTCAGTTTATCTAGTCATTTAAGAATAAAGCAGGGTGGGCCTGGCGTGATGGCGCAGTGGTTAAGGTCCTCACCTTGCATGCCCGGGATCCCACATGGGCGCCGGTTCTAATCCCGGCAGCCCCCGCTTCCCATCCAGCTCCCTGCTTGTGGCCTGGGAAAGCAGTCAAGGACAGCCCAAAGCCTTGGGACCCTGCACCCACGTGGGAGACCCGGAAGAAGTTCCTGGCTCCTGGCTTCGGATCGGCATAGCATCGGCTGTTGAGCTCACTTGGGGAATGAACCATCGGATGAAAGATCTTCCTCTCTGTCTCTCCTCTCTGTATATCCACCTTTCCAATAAATAAATAAATAAATAAATAAATAAAGCAGGGCATACTGTAATAGGATCCTTCTTATACCAATTTTGAGTCCGATCATCAGTTTCTCTTAGAACGCTCCCAGACACACCTCCTTACCATCTAATATTTGGAAGATGTTCACAAAGAACTGATTGAACTTCAAAGTGCAACTTAAATGTACTCTGTTCTTTATTAATCTCTTAAAGGAACAGAAAAATTATGGTTTGTGAACTAAATTAAATGTCATTTTTATTCCCTGTCCATTTTCAGCACATTCAGTCCTGAACCTATTTGCTATACATAAGATCTTACAAAAGGAGATGAATTTAAAGGTTTTTTTTTAAATAATCACCTGTTGCCAGAAAAATGGAGCATTGGAACAATGAAGCTGGCGGCCAGGACACCCCAGGCAGCACTGTGCAGCTGTCAGTCACACTCAGAGGTAGACCAAGGAGAAGTCCTGTGCATTTCTTGAGACTGTAAACTGCTAGAATTCTAGTATGCAGAGCCATTCAGGGCTATAAGTGCAAAATGCTAGTGACCACTCAAGTCAGCCATGAGTGAAAGATTTGCCTTTTCTTTACAGAGCTGCTTGCAAAGTGAAACCTAAATACACTCAGCAGATTTCTTTTGGGAGAGGCACTATGTTAATCGGGGCAGAGTAAAAGATTTGTATGTTTGCTACAATGGCCAGACATTATTAATATCTGAGAGGCTGAAGTCTAATTTAAAGATTGCACAAAGGAACTGGAAACAAACACAAATACACACGCGTGTATAATACACAATCTGAACTCATCGTAAACTCATCTGGAATTCAAATGGCCTATAGCTGTCTCCAATTATGGAAGCAAATTCAAATGCCAGCCTTCCTGCATATGATATAGTACAGTGAGAAGCTGCATTTATGCTGGTTAAGAACAACTGTCAGAGGTCAAATACCAGCTGTGCTGCTTAGCAGCTGTGTGACCTGGGACAATTTGCTTAAACTTTCTGGGCCTCACATGGCTTACCTTTGAAATGGGGATGGCAATACCTATGGAACAGAGTTATTATAAACATTAAATGAGCAAAAGAATGTAAACTTAGAATAGCATCCAGTATATTTGTATCGTACACATGCATATGAGTCAGCTCTTACTGTTCACGAGCATGTAGAGTCTCAAGAAATATAAGGTCAAGTGTAACATCTACGGTCTTATCTCTGCAGGGATTATTTCCACATTCCTTCATGTTCATCCGTTTGGAGCAAGCATTGAATACATCTGTTCCTACTTGCATCGTCTTGATAATCAGGTACAGGGTCGGGGAAGACAGGGTACAAGAGAATGTAGGCTTCTTGGTAAAAAGATTACTTGACTGCACAAGCAAACACTAAAACAATGAAACCATGAGCTAAGGTCATCTGTGACCCAGACTGAATATCTGCTCATAGCTGATCTCATGAGCCAGTGCCTTCCCCAGATGCTAGCTCTTGGGGTAATTGGAGCAAGAATATGAACACATTCCCTAGGAAGCCAGGGTATCTCTTAGAGGCAGGAGGGGGCTATGAACTCCTTAGAACAAACAGGGTCATGAGAAACAGCATTCCGTTAAACAGGCTCATGGTGCATGCTCACTATGTCACAGGGCATGCACCTGTTGGGAAGTGCCACTGAATGCAAATTCCTGCTGAGTGTTCAGATTGTTAGGCCATGTAAGCATTTATCCTCTCCACAAAGGCACTGGGCCATTTGGGCATCCTGCTTTAAGTATGTTCCAAGTGTGCTGCCTCACCCTCCTCCATTAACAGGAGGAGCCAGCACTGCCCCTCCTTTCCCTCTGTAAACGATACTGTTCTGTAGTCAATCAGCCCAGTTGGCGGTGAAGGGGAGGACAGAATGGGAGTACCCAGGAGCAAATAATCAGTTGAAACAATATGAAATCAAACTCTGGGTCTGTCAAAATTATCTCTTTTTTTGTTTGTTTGTTTATAAAAAAAAAAACAGACACTGCATACATTATCCTTTAAAATGTACACTGTATAGAAATACAGTAGAGGGAAAGTAAAACTTGCCCACAGTGTGATGCCTCAAGGGCAGTCACTGGAATTCAGCATATTTCCCAGATGCTTTCCTCTATGTGTGCCGCACCTGGAGCATAGTTACTTCTATAAACATTATCTAGCTACTTTTTGTTTGATATGGGAATCCTACTGTGCATGACACTTTGCAATGTATGGTTCCATCTAACTGGGTAATGCCTACTGCCAACTCTGAGAAGGAGGCCTGCCTTCACTCCTAGCCCAGTCTCAGTTCCTCCTTGGCAGCTTCCAGCCAGAGCAGTACCAAGAGAGCCTATAGTAGTAGCGACAGAGCTGGAGAATCCCTCCCTCCAGCGTCTGGAACATTCACTGTGGCCGCAACTGTGTGGTTTTCTCCAAGGATTCCTTGATGTTTCTCAATCAAGCCCTGGTTCCTAGGTTTACAGGTAGGATAGAAGGTACTAAAGAAAGCCTCCCAAACAAGCCTCCTCAGGGAGTCCCAGAATTATTTTATTCTTTCAATGTATTGAGGTCTGTGTGTGAGAGAGACAGAATATGTGCTGAGGGGAGACCGCACCGATGCTTGGAAGTAAGGAGCATTCATCACTCGTGTTATTTTTGCTTTGTGAACTGATGTATGTGGGAAGAATTCTACTCTGCTGGCAGCCGATTCTGCTTCCCTCCTCTCCCAAATTACTTGGCAGCTCCAATGGACTTGCACATGACGTCACCCGCACTGAGCAACCTGCTACAATCCCAGGCTTCTCTACGTGACTGGCACCAGCTCCCTGCATTAGCCAGCTTAGCGGCCTCCATGTAGTGGCCAAGCAGAGGAACAATGCCGTATGTCTAGAAGTCAGTCTACAAGACACACACACACACACACACACGTGCGCACACATACTGAAAGAGAGATGCCACCCACAACATACAAACACATACACACATACACACACACACACACAGCCTCCTTCCCTGCCTGCATGGCAGCATTCACACGTAGGCCACAGCAGGGCAGAGGGTGGGATGAAGACACCAGATACAGAAAGTGGAACTGGCTTTCAATGTTGGTACCCTCTCTCCGCTGCAGATCTGCACGAGTGACGTAGAGGGGCTCATGAGTAGACTTCAGCACACCTTCAAACAAGAAATGACTGGAGTTGGAGCCAGCCTGGAGAAGAGATGGAAGTTCTGTGGCTTTGAGGGCTTGAAACTGACCTGAATCTTTTTGCCAAAAACTTAGGATCCTGAAAAATAAAGGGAGGGGGGATGTTGGGGCAAGGTTAGAAAGTGATTTGTATTTTTGATGGTTTTCAAGTGAAAATTGCTTTAAATTTGTCATTTCATTCCATGGGATATCGTCTGAGTTAAGATAAGGATCCTAGAACAGCACCTCGAGCTACAGGCCCTAACAAGAAATCGCCTCAAACCTCAAGTGCTGTAACTTCTCCCCCTTCTTGTTAGTAGTATTGAAACAATCTTGAAGCTAGAGAGTATTTGGAAGTGTTTTCAGTGTCTGTACTACTGTTGTAAACCTTGATAATTTTTTTTTCACCACTGTTAACTGAGCTGTTTTCTGATTATTTGTATCTGATTTGTGTTTGCAACCTTCTCCTCACATCAAAGCTGCTGCTGGTGAAAGGAATGAGAGGGGCTCTCAGTATTCCGCGTAACTGCCATTGTCTTTCCAATGCCCAGTAGACCAGCATCTAACACATCAGTGTTTTCCAGAAGGTGCTTAACCAAGTTCACACTGTAAATGACAAAGCATGGTTTGTGGCTTTTTGCAAAATGACTATGAACCAAAAGTTAACAAATGTTCCAAAGTTATTTTCTCTAATATGTCAAACAAAAGATCTGTTTCAGAATTTTGAACACAAAACCTGGATATATGTATTCACAGCAAGCAAATATCCAGTATGAGTGACAGGTGTCTGCACTATTAAGAATCACTTGTAAATAGTCTGCTTTTAAAAGGTGGGCGTGTTTAGTTTTGTATGACTTAAAACACACTGGCAGGTGAGCTCACACACATGCATGCTCACCCACACCGGCAGAAGGGATGTATTTTAATGTGTATTTCCCTCTGGCCGTCTTGTGTTCTCCATCGGCCCCTTTCCCTCTGCTGACCATGTGTTGAACAGCAAATTGTGTACCGCCGTCCACGCTAGGTTTACTGCAACGCTGAATGTGTATGAAAAGCTGGTATGAGTGTTGAGAATAATGGACGAATGAATAATAATGGGCCAAAGTATGTGAGGCTTTCTGCCAGCAGCAGGTCAGCTCTGTGTGGTGTAGTGTGTTGGTTACCAGTGATGCCTCACTGTTCTGCAGTGCCCAGCAGCAGGTTGCAGTGGCTGGGGACAAGCAGGCCTTCAGAAACTTCTGCTCAGTCAGTGGAACAGGAAAGGAGAAGATAGGGGTTGGAGGGCCAATATCCTAAGGCAGAGATGATGGGAGTGTGTGTGTGTGTGTGTGTGTGTGTGTGTGTGTGTTAGTACTGGTGGTAGCAGTGGCAGTAGTGCTTCTAGTAACACAAACAAGCCCTCCCTGTGTCTCTATTGGAAGTAAGAGAACATGCTGAATAAGCCAAGCCAGCGCAGAGCGCTTCTCAAAAAGACTGTAAATGAGATGTCGGCAGTGTTCAAAGTTGTATTTTTCAAAGATAAATATTTCCTTTTTATACTTCAGTTTGGTGTTCTGTTTTGAATAATTAGCTAAGTACTTCCATAGTAGCTCGTCTCCGGTTCTTCCTTGGAGTTTAGCAGGATGTTGGGAGAAGATGTCAAAGTTGCCTTGACAACTAGAAACAGCGTCCCCAGCAGCCCATTCGTGCTACACGCCACCTTCCCCTTGTGGCTCCCCTCTGCAGCGCCGGCACCACACAAGGGTTATTTTTACACCAGCTTCCTCACTGAAGCATTTCTGTCATCAATGTTGCAGAAGCCTTTGATTCATCACTCTCACCGGCTCTCGCACAGCCTTCTTTTCATAACATCTAGGAAATCAAGGGAAATGTTCCACTCATCAGTTACTTCTTATTTAATTACAATAAGCAACATGGAATTCTAAAGCAACAGCTGCCACACCTAAACACTTTGCTCTCCCTCACTTGACTCTACTTACATTGCACATTTTCATTTTCTCTTCCACCTGCCAGTTTCATTCAGGTTATACTCTGACAACCTGCTTGGGAGATTCATTGTGAATTGGCTAGGTTCTAGTGCCCAATCAGTTGAGCAAACACTGATGTAGGTGTTTATGCGAAGATTTTTTTTTTTCACTTTACGTGAGAGGCAGAAACACAACACAGAGACAGAGATCATCCATCCACAATTCACTGCCCAAATACCCACGGGAGCTAGGACTGGGTCAGAGCAAAGCCAGGTGCCTAGGACTTAACCTAGGTTTCTCAGGTGGTAAGCCACCTAGGTTTCTCAGGTGGTGAGCCAACACCTGTTGCTTCATAGAGTTTACACAAGCAAGAAACATAACTCGGGAGCTAGAGCTGGATATGGAACCCAGACATTGCTAAAATGGCATACAGATATGCAAGTGGCATCTTAACTGCTGTGCCAAAGGCCTGCCCCTGAGGTATCTTTTCAATAGGATTAATATTGAAATCAGCAGGTACTGGGTATGACAGGTTATCCACCATCATGTGCCTGTGCCTCATCCAAGCAGTTGAAGGCCTTAAAAAGAAAGACTGAGATCACCCAAAGGAGTCCTGCCTCTACATGGTCGCAAACTCCACTCATAATTGCTATATCTTCTACCAGAATTTGCCTGCCAGCCAGACAAATCTCAGAATTACCAGTCCCCACAATTACATGAGCTAATTCCATGTAACAAATATCTCTGTGCACATGCACACACACACACACACACACAAAGTATTTCATCCCATTGGTTCAGCTGCTCTGAAGAACCATCATATGTGAGTCCAGAGTTGTCAGTGCTACTTACAATCATTTTGTTCCCTCAGAATTTGAAATATTGCAGTTTCGTTATTTTTAAAAGATGCAGAAGTTAGATTTCCACCAAATAACAAGTAGAAGTTTCTTTTCTTCCACAAGTGGTCGTTTTCTCTTCTTCCCCACTCCTGTGATATCTCAACGTTTGATTCTTTTAAAATTACCAGGCTGCCATTTAAAATCTTCAGTACAAATGAAAACATTCAGATTCAGAGACAATTAGATGCATGCCTACGTTCAACTTGAAGTAGTTTTGAAATCTTGAGCTACAAAATGTATGATTTTCATGTAATGAAGACTAAAATGTATTATTTGAAAAGACCACAAAGACGTACAAGAACTTTTGACTCACCCAGTGCAGGTATGAGCGCTTAGGATTCTGAGCAGCCCGGCCGATAAACTGATTTCATTTCTCACAATTGGTACCTTTTGCAGAGTACCTGTTGCAGAGTCAGGCTGTGCATCTTTAGGCAGCTTACACAAGCACAATGAAAGCTTCTATTTCTGTACAGGCAAAATTAAGGAGAAATATTACCTACCTCACAAGGTGATGGTAAAGATTCATAAGACAGCATCTACAAATACCCCCAACAGATGCCTGCTGATCAGAACTTAGCTTTATGATGAGTAGTGAGCTAAAATTCATGACCCAACCTGCATTACAAAAGAAGAAAAAAAGGTATCAGGGGTCAGCATTGTGGTACATCATGCTAAGCCTCATCCTGGAATCCTGGAATCCTGGAATCCTGGCATCCTATATGGGCGCTCTTTCACGTCCTGGATACTCCTCTTCTGATCCAGCTCCCTGTTCATGTGCCTGAGAAATCAATGGGACATGACCCAAGTGCTTGGGCCCTACACCCAGGTGGGATACAAGAAAGAAGCTCTCTGGACTCCTTGGCTACAGCTTAACCCGGTTCTGACAGTTGTGGTCCTTTGGGGAGGGGGACCACGTGATGTTACAGGGTCACAACAAAGCAAATGCATCTGTGCAACCTATTCCAGACATTTACTCTGTTTCAGACCCTGTGCTACTGTGAGACATGAAAGCAGTATGGCTGGCTTTGACACCACGGAGCTAAAGAAGAGCTTTCAACCCACTGAACTAATCCATTTACCCTTTAGTCAAAACCACAAAAGCAGAGTGTGTTCATCAACCAGGAATGATGTGGATGAGGTGGTAACAAGATCTTACTGGTGAGATCTGAACTATTTGTGTTTGCCCCACCCTCCATCCCCCAGAGTGTAAGTTCCATGGAAGTATTACCATCATTTGTCTTGCTTGCTGCTTCAGCCCTAGAACCTGGTGTTATGTAGTTGCTCAGTAAAAGTTTAATGCACACTGTATAGCATTCTAAACTACATTCACATACATACTACTACTAATAAGAGCATTGGTGGGCATTGTGCATCATTGTGGCGGCAGCAGTGAAGCCACAATTGCAAACACCTACACCCCCTATTGGTAGGTCAGTTCAAATCCCAGCCACTCCATTCCCCATCCAGCTTCCTGCCAGTGTTCCTGGAAAACAGCAGATAATGGTTTGAATACTTGAGGCTCTGTCTCCCCAGGGCAGATTCAGGTGGAATTCCTGGCTCCTAGCTTCAGGCTGACTCAGCCCCAGATATTATGGTTATTTGGGGAGTAAAACAGCAGATGCAAGACTCTCTCTCTCTCTCTCTCTCCCTCTCTCTCTCTCACACACACACACACACACACATTCACACACACCCCACTCTGCTTTTCATTAAATAAACCTTTTTTAAAAGGCTAACTTCATCAGTCATCCCTCTACTCCAGGATATATATGAGACTCAATGTAAAATGCCTAGGACTATACCTGGCAGAAATAAGAGTTCAATAAACAGTGGTCATCATTGTTCAACTCATAGTCATATTAATAACAAAGCTTTCATAATGCCAGAGCTGCCTTTCCAATATTGAAGATCCCGTAAGTCCACACAGTAAGCTAAAAGAAGAATGAGACCTGCTGGCTTAGCGAATATCAGATTTCACCAAAGAATACTTCATCAAGACGTAGGTAATGCCTGGTCCATGCTTGACCCTGAGAGGAAACTTCCTGCTGCTGTCTCCAGATGCAGTCTGATGTGTCCCTCAGATCCCACCCCCTCCCATCACAGGACAGAACATATCCCATTAACAAGGAGGCAAAAGGGGCTTTATCTTTTCTCCCACATCCCAAGATCCATCATATCCCCCCAGTGTTTCAGTTCGACAGTAAGCTTTGAAGATCTCAGCTTGCCTGGATTTTCTATCTTACAGGAAGATCTCAAAGGCATACTGAAGCAATTAATTATTGGGGCAATGGAGAGAAGGAAAGGAAATTGATTGCACACAGGTATGAGCTCTCAAGGCTATCCAGTCTTACTGAGATGTTATCAGCTCTTGAATGGAAATGCTGTGCATGACAGATTAGAGAGTATTCTGCCCAGTCACATTCATTCATGTATGTTTAAATATTAGACACCCCTAAAATTAATAACCCTCTAAGGTATCAGACCTCTGAAGCCTTAACCCATTAGTATTCCTCAACAAATACCTTATATGGTCTCATTCTTTTCAAGTGTTTTCAAAGCAACTCTGGGCACAGGCATTATGTCTTTTGATCTTCCCCATACCCTGGGAACTTGAGGTGAAAACGGGTCCCTCACCATGATCACAGCTAAAGGCAACAATCTCAGAAAATGAAGAACCACCCCTTGGTTGCACAGCTAAGTGGAAGATGGAGCAGGGATAAGGATGTAGGATTTCTGAGTCCTCAGCTCTCTCCCATTTCATCTCCAACTTCAGTCCAGGATGACTGAGAGAACATAAAATAAGACTCCTTAACACTTCTGGTGCCATGGAACCCTTATGAGAATGATGTTCTTTCTTTAATAAAAATGTATTTATTTTTATTGCAAAGTCAGATATACAGAAAGGAGAAAAGACAGGAAGATCTTCTGTCCGATGATTCACTCCTCAGGTGACTGCAACAGTCAGAGCTGTTCCAATCCGAAGCCAGGAGCCAGGAACTTCTTCCAGGTCTCCCAAGTGGGTGCAGGATCCCAAGGCTTTGAGCCATCCTTGACTGCTTTCCTGGGCCACAAGCAGGGAGCTGGATGGGAAGTGGGACTGCTGGGATTAGAACCGGTGCCCATATGGGATCCTGGTGCGTTCAAGGCGAGGACTTTAGCCACTAGGCCACTGCACCAGGGCCTGAGAATGATGTTCTTAAATGCATGAAAATAAAATACCAAGGATTACTAAGAAAACCAACTAGGTTGAAATAATATATGTACCAAAATGGTTTTAAAAGATGGGATCCATTTCATTCTGTTTATGAATTACTTATGATAGTGCTCAATCACATGGGAGGCTTTAAATAAGCACTACTAGATAAAATGTATTTAAACAATAAAGTGTGTAAGTGATCAGGATACTGATTCATTGCACATTTTGCAACTCTTGTGTCAATGCGTAAACGACAGGCAGTCTCCTCAAACCTGTGTTTCTGTGTGAAAAAAATGACAGCTGAGCTTCTGTGTGAGCAAGTATAAAGCGTTGTGTTGTTAAGAAAATTAACCAAATGCTATCCACAAGATGTTTCTCCTCAAACCCACCAGTTCTGGCACAGAAAAGAGAAAGAGTGTCGGAGAAAAGTCCCCGAAGGTGTCTGTGCAATGTGTGGTTGGAATCATAAAAAGGCA